CTTACTGAATTCTGAAAAAACATCATGATTCTGACGATTTAGAAGAAGGTGATTGAAATGAATGAACCTGTTTCAAACGAGGAGTCGATCCAGTTAGTAACCGAATAATTACTTGATGAGGAGCCAGAGTCTGCTATATCCAGGCATCTAAAAGCAAAAACTTTGACAATTGTGCTTTCTTATTTCGAGACAAATTAAACGTTCTTCTTTAAAAGAAGAAGAATGAAAAACGAAGATAAAGTATCGCTACGTTCTTCTTTATCTCAAGAAGTAAATTCAGACTGAATTAAGTAAAGTCAGTCTGCAAAAGCCGGAGCAGATAAAGTTTTCTTAAGTGAAGTCAAATAATAACAATGAAAATTGAGGACGGTAGCATTTATTAGATTAAAATAGCTTTCAACTCCTCTGCATCTCTTCATTAAAAAAACAGCAGCTATGAGTGCAGCCAGGCTACACCCTGTTATCAACATGTATAGAAGTCTCGACAGTCAAAACTTTATCTGCCAGATCGTATGAATATGGAACTTCACTTTGGTAGGAAATTCGAAGTCCTCATTCCCGATCAATTGGACTGGGAAAATGGCACTTCCGGATGCGAACCAAAAGTGATAAGATTGTACAGTGATGGTTTAAAAACGAAAGAGAAAGTTGGTGCTGAAGTATTTGGTCCTAACACCAGAATCTCGCTCGCGCTGTGTATGTGGCCCACTGTCTTCCAAGCAGAGGTTCACGATATTGAAGTCTGCGCTCGTATCAACATTAGCAATGGGTTGAAAGGCGTCAGAATCTGTATTTATTCAGATAGTCAAGCAGCAATCAAAGCATTATGCTCCTGGAAGTTTTTCTCAAAGCTTCTAGTAGACTGTTATGACACACTGCAGCAGCTGGCAAGCAATAATAAAGTGACGCTGTGCTGGGTGCCTGGTCACACAGGAATCAATGGTAATGAGTCTGCCGACAGTCTTGCACGGGCAGGATCTGCCACTCAAATCTGTGGACCAAAACCTTATTGTGTATTAAGTTGGTCTATAACTAGGTCTCTAATCAATAATTGGATATCAGCAGAGAGAAGCCGCACCTGGCGCGACAGTCGACGTAACCGACAGGCTAAAAAGCTGGTTCACCCCTATAGTTATAATAAGATATCCTTCTTCTAAGTTACCACCTCAACAAAATGGGTCTGTCCGACGAGATACAGTGTAGACTCTTCTTAAAAGCAGAGGAGACAAACAGCCACATTCTATGTGACTGCCCAGCTTTGATCTGGGCCAAGAGGAGGTCACTGAGTCGGTAACGGCTGTCACCTTACGACATTAGGAGGTCCTCAACGGCCGACATTTTAGCCTTCATTCGGAAGGTGGAATGTCTTCTGTTCGGTTAGGGTCTGTTGTAGCACAAAGATCAATGGTTGCCGTGCTCTGCTCAAGTGGAAGCTAGTACCCCGTTCATTCTTATCTTATCTGAAAATAGCTTTCAAACTATTTATAATTTTAATTTAATTTTTATTTTTTATTGTGTTCATTTTTTTATTTCTGTATGTTATGTTATTTTCTTTTTAAGTACGCATTTTAATAGCAAATAAAAAAATCAATGAACTAAACCGTTTATACATTATATTTTAAAAAGTAAGAACTGATTTTGTTCAATTTGTTTGGATTTGTATAAAAATAATTGATTCGTTAAACGACTTTTCGCTTTACGGCCAACTTTTTCGGAACGTTGAGCGAGGTGTGGGAACAAATTTTATATCAGACCTTTTTATTATTTTGAATTTGTACATGTTATTCCAGTTCCTTTTAAGTTAGTATAAGTTTTATACTAGAATTAGACAATTAATTCAAACTTATTTGAACTGTCAATTACGTACATAAGTTTTTAAAAATTATGATTTCTGTATTAATATCATGGTACATAAGTTGGGCTTGGGCTGATTTCGTGACCTTCATTTAAAAATAGTCTAAGGACAGTAATGTTTTATATTTCATAAATTTGATACTTAAAATCTATTATATTGTTTTTTCACACATTAAATTTATGGGTTTTTCAAGCTTGCAAAAATAGCGTAGAAAATGTGTATCTAATGTTTATAATATAAGTTACAGCATTTGAACAAATCACAAAAACGTATACTATTCATTACATCCTTTCTATTCAATTAATTTTTCCAGAATATATATTTTGAAATCAAAGTTAAATTCACACAACTGGCTTATATTCTTGAATACAAGAAAATGTTGTTTTTGAAGACACATTTGTAACCAAATTAATGTATTTTACTAATTTTAGGTTTCTGTGTCAACTCCAAATCTAGGGAAATAAACCACAACAAGAGCAAAATTACAAAAATATAAAATATGAGACAGCCAAGTTTAATTACTTGCACACAAAACCAACAACAAAAAGGGTAATTCAAGTAATCAAGATATTTTCTTATATTTTCTCATAATTTTTTTAATATTTAATATTTTTGGCTTTTTTATTGAAACAAAAAACTAGAAATATCTGGCCCAGAAAATTATAATAAGCCCGTCTGTCTGGTTACTGAGCTAAGCTGGGTTAGTCTGACTTGGCTTGTAAGCAGCTAAACGTCTGTAACAAGCGCAATAAAGCTAAAGTATTTCGGTTACACAAATCGCAGATTCTTATTAGAAGACAAGGAAATAATTTACTTTTGCGAATGTCACGCGTTGGTAATTATTTACCATTTTGTATTATTCTTAATTCCTCTTAAAGAAATGAATATGAAAGCAACCAAAAACTACTTTCATTTATTCCATTTTTTTTTTCGTTTTTTGTATATTTTTGTTCCGTAAGCTAAAGTTCATAATGACGTGACTTTAGATTTCATTGTTAATATATTTTGTGAATACTTTTTTGTTGTCTTCTCAGAATGGTAATATAATTAGCTAAAAAGTCTAAATTAGCAACTGCTACGCTTCTTTGTTCCCTTTCAAATCATTGCTGTTCACTGATTACACTACACAATGAGAGAATAATTGGGTCGAAAGAACACAATCATTTAAGATTTGTTTAAACAATTCAATTAAAATAAAATATCTCAATCAAAATAATTTTGTTCAGTTATGTATTTTAGTATGGTATAATATAGTACGTGTTAATGTAGTCTGTTTATTACGATATAAACCCCAAAAAGGCGAGAATAGTCTTTGCATATTGATTATATTCTTCGCCTTCGTCCCAATTTAGACACTATTATAAAGTGTACCTCTTCGACCTCTTTATAAAGCGTACAACAAATTCGGTTTAATTGCAGGAGAGATGTTATGCTTATGTTAGCAACATAATTCATTAATTTTAGAATATTTCAATTGAAATTATAAAAAATAATTGATTAATTTCAAATTGTGTTGCTGATGGCGTTTGGTTGATATCCAACTCAAGCCATCACTTGGGTTCTCTTTTTTAACACCTTATGTTACTAATTTTACCATCAATGGACTCAGTTATATTATCCAATAAATAGCTTTGAACTTTTTCGTCTTTACTCATTAATTAGTCCTGTTTATTACCCAACAAAAGTGCTTATGATTAAATTAGCTACATCTAAAATTATTTTATCACATTATATTTAAAATGGATAAAACAAATCATTTTTAAGTATCAAGCCGAATTTGTAAAGGTAAGTTGTGGCTAACCAACAGAAACCTAAGTACTAAATTAAAAACAACGAAAATATGGTTGAGATTGTCTTACATTGTGTATGATCAAATACTATATGTATTATGAAGCGATATGATTCTTAAGCTTCTTAAAAGGAATATAAATATAATAACATCCTTTTGTCTTAACAGTGTTCTTTTAAGATATAAACTGACTTTGTCAAAAACGTTTGTTTGGTCAAGGAAGATCAAATATGCTAGCTTTTAGAACTTATCAGAGTTCTCACTGATTTATCTTCATATGAAAAACCAATGAAAATTTAATTGCTCTCTTTTAAATGCGTAATTTATAGATATAGGAAATACTTGTCATTTTAGTAATAACAACTACAAGCATAAGCATTATCTAGACAAGCTAGAATTTCGACTTGAAAAAGTCTTTAATCATGAAAAGCAATTCACTGCCCGTTTAAAGTAAGATCAGCTAGAATACTTCTAATAAATTTTACTATATATTTTCCATCCATTATATTAAGAAAAAATATTCGTTTTTTCGTTAATTTCTTTTTTTTTGTTGGAATTATGATGTCATTTGTTGAGGTAAATAAGAAAGTACACATTGTATGTAGTAAATTTAAATAATATCAATATTTACATAAAATAGTGTTTTCGTGCCTTAAAAGTGTGGATATGACAACGTAATATGTTCAACCTATAATAGTTTTTAGTTACTGTAATTATTTGTAAACCTTCTGCATATAACTTGCACAAAACAATTCTTCTATTGAATTTATGTTTAAGATTAAGGTTTTAACATTAATATTTCTACTAATTAATTGATTAAGGAGATATAATCATAAAATGCTTACATTATGTAACAAATACATAATTTTTTATATGAAAATATTCTTATTAAAGTATTGAGTTTTAGTGATATTAGACTACAAGCCACTTTGTTGACTCTATATAAAATATGGATTGATTGATTAATAAAGAGGAAATAAATTTTTTATGTTTAATGTACATAATAGTTTACGGTCATTTTAGTTATCTAGGAACTACATAGTACTTATTTTCCTACCCATACATTTGGTATATACAATGTTATCATCTTCGATGACAGCATAAGTTAAACTATTGCAATGGCAAGTATTGTTCTCATTTGCATTATAAGGTCTAAGGAAATATTTGTTATTTGACAAAGTATTTTAATTAATAGTACTTAGAAATAATGTTAGGTAAGAAGTAATTAAAAGTCACTCTAACAATTCAGTTAACGAAGTAAGGAAACCTTAAACAGAAGTAATTCACAAGATTTAAAAAAGTTACTTTATTTCAAATGAAAATCATGTTGTTTTGTTGGAATATTTTTATTCTCAGTGCACTGGTTCTTACTGTTGTGGGAAATATATCACTACCAACAGTACGAACTGAATTCGATGCAGCATTTTCGAATATACTCAAAAGAATTGAAACAGAAAAATCGTATCAGCATATCTATATCCACCATAAAAGTCCCAGCGACTGTCTTTTTGAGGAAGTACAAAAGAATATTTCGAAACCTCTTATAACTTCAAACACTACACTGTCAACCTACCTGAAGCACTACTACAATAGCGAAATACTGGTAGTTGCAAGCACAACTCTTACGTGTGACAAAGAACTTCTAGATAAATTGGCTAAAAATTTACAACATATACGACAAACGCGTATTGTGCTACTAATCAATATGATATACGAGCAAAATATGTTGACATCTCTTACAGAGTTTTTCAAATTATGCCATAAATATAAAATGATCAATATTATGGTACTTCACCAGGATTTTTACTTGACTCACATCTATCACAGCTATTCACCATTCCCGCATTTTCAATTGGAAATAAAAATTACGCACAGCATTTCAAGTTACTTTCCAAACCGTTGGCGTAATATGCTCGGCAAAGTTGTCTATACACTAACAGATCAAATGGAACCAAGAACTATGCTTTACACAGATGCCAAAGGACAACAGCAAATGGGCGGATATGTTGGCAAATTTATGCAAGTCTTTTCCGCTTACTATAATTGCAAATTACAATTTCCTTTTAATATTTCCAATGACCGAGTCATATTTTTGACTGAACTGCGTCAAGCAGCCCGAAATGAAACTATTGATATAGCATCCAGCATGTCATCACCGCAGCGCGAGAATAACATACACGAGTACCCTTATACACTAGAAATTTGCAGATGGTACACTATGTTGCCAGTAGAGCAACCTCTAGCAAGTTCAGAGTTACTGCTTCTTGTCTTTAGCGGTGAACTGTCTCTAACAATTACAATTATACTTTGGCTGCTATCAATCTTACTTATCATTAGTAAGGACTATAACAACTTGAGTTATAATTTATCAACCTTTCTGCGTATATATTTTGCAAGTTATACGTCAACTTTACGTGGCCTACTAGGGCAGCCTTTCAAAATGGAAGCACATCCCAGCTTTAATACTAAATTAATTTATTTACTGCTCTTTATTGCTGGCCTGTATATAAGCACTGGTTATCAGGCGAGTTTAGTGTATTTACTCACGAATCCACCAAAAGAAAGAACCATTGCAACATTTGAAGACACAATTAATAGAAATTTAAAAATTCTGTTAGCCGAAGATGAACGACCACATCTTGTTTACTATACAGGTGAAGAGTTTTGGGATAAATACAAATCCGCTTTTACTATTGTTAAGACATTCGCAGAATTTCAGACTCATCGTTTTACTTTGGATACTAATTTCGGCTATGCAACAGATACATCCGTATGGCCACTATTCAATGAACAACAAAAATATTTTTCGAATCGTCTGTTTCGTCTATCAACTAAATTATTTTATACCAATTTTGTACTCTGGAGCTTACCGGTTAATGAGAATTCATATTACAAGGAACCTCTTAGTGAGATGATTTTTTATTTACAGGCTGGTGGCATTATGGAATACTGGCACGAAAATACATTCTATGATATGGTGGCTTTAGGAAGGTTATCTTTCGAGGATTTGAGTAGAGCTAGAATCAAGGAACCATTGGATAATGAGGATTTGTTTTATTGTTGGGTTCTATATTTGGTGATGTTGTGTTTAAGCGTTTTTGTGTTTCTTTGCGAAATCCTTTTTTATAAATATAAAAGTTACAAGAAATTAAGAAATCAAAAATTAATTAAACGTAAAAAGTTAATAAAACATAAAAAAGTTATGTGTTTGTAATAAATACGGTATTGCATGAAAATATAAAATATAACAAGATAAATATATCTCGACTGTGTTCCTTAATTGCAACTTCTTAATTTGAAGGTACTTAATTTGCAACTCATTTTGTATGCATATGTATATCTGTAGTGAATACATTTAGCATTATGTTTTTTAATGAAGATTTTAAAATAAGATTTTATCTGGCCAGTATGGCAAAAAATATAATTTTAGTATATATGAACAAAATGCGACACAATGCAATTTTTTGTTTACAGGTTTGTTTAGAAATACAATAAATTTAATAATTAATTTTTGATTCAAGAGGTTATAAGTTAAGCAATTTTCTTTAAACCTTACAATAATAAGGTTTAAATATTTTTTAAATAAACAGTATAAACAAATGATATCGGATTAATTTCACGTAATCCTTTTGCCACAACTTGATGCTTTTATAAAGGAACTATAAAGGTTTTTTGTACCTTTACTGATTAAAACTCATTCCGTGCTCTTAAATGAGAAGCATCTACTGTAAAATGTTATGCTTTATAAATTATAATCGATCTATAAAGAAACTATTCTATTATGATTGTGAACAGCATCCTTTCCACTTTAAGCTAAAATAAGATTTTAAATAAAAAAAGCTTGTAAGAGAAAATATATATTGTAGAAAAAATTTAACCGCATTTAAAAAGTTTAAGGAATTTTGTCATCTCGAGTAATAAATGGTTTCAGACCTACAATTTGAGATCTTTTCCAATACTCACAAAATTACCAAGAAACTCTACTGAATTATATCTGTGTTCAAAAGATTTTTTCAATACTATGAATTTGGAGTCAAATGATGGTTATGGCAAAAGAGAAGATTAGTGCAAATGTTTTCATTATCCTATTAATCAAGACGACTTTTATCACTTGCTAAATAATTAGGCATAATAACAGAAGGCCCATCGAAATGACTGCATTTGGTAGTAGTGGTCAAATTTTTCCTTGTCAGTTTTAATAATTACTTATAGTGGTTTACATCAAATACATTCAACATAGATCTATTGGTGTAAGGGGTTAATAAATAATACGAGTATTAAATGACTGAAGAAAGTGTTTTATGAGACGATGTTTGGATGTGGTGACTAGTACATCCAAATCCGGATGTGAAAATGGAAGAAATAAGTTCTTATTTATTATTTTAAGCTATATTCATTGGTAGTTTCTTGCCTTCTTTATATGGCATCGTAGCAACATAAGGTAATATAAAAGCTATTAGGCCCTCTCATCAAGGGGTGGGAAGCTTTTCACTGTTCATGATTTGTACGCATATTGGTCATGAGTTTTGGTATGTAATGAGGAATGTTATGTTTATATCTAAAACGAAAATTTGACATTTGAAATAATGAATATTTATTTATTTATTATTTATTTAAATCTTGCATAAAACATTAACAAACCTAACAAACCTTAAGTCCACCTCAGGACGCACAGGAAGATATGCTGATCTTCGGTCCGTCATCAGTTGGAAGATAAATAAATGATAATGATTCTAGTATAGTTAAAGTTAAGTGTTGGGCAGGGATAAGCCCCCCAGCCACAAAAGAGTAAAAGTGCGCAATAGCACTAACTCAAATCACAACAACAACAACAACAACTACAACAACAAAAGAACTGATAATATTTTTGGCATTCGAGTTAAATCCATAATACTTAACAGATTATTTAAGTTCATTGCTAAATAGTAAAATATTAATGTCATTATTTTAAATTAATTATAATTGAAATTGAATGCAGGAGGGTATGACAGTCAAATGAACAGATGCTCTCTCGTTCATGGAAGTTTTATCCTGCTATGAACTTTAGTCATAATAAAGTTAGTGCATGAATTAAATACTTTTTATTTTAATAAAAAATAATTACCAAAATTTAATGATTAAAATTATGCAGTTAATGCTATTTAATTAGCTTAGTGTTGATAATTGATTTAATTAATTAGCAGTTAATTTGTTTTCATTACAATCACTTTATTATGTATATTCCTATAAAAGTCCCTAAAATATTTTACTGGCTGGGTAGTAGAAAAATTTATTAGAAGACTTATGGCTCGTCTAGCAAAAAGTGCTTGTATTTATAAAGTTTGAAATGAAAGTTTACATGTATATTTTTATATTTAGACTACTTTATATAGAACTTATAAATGGATTTATAGAATATTCAAGTATTAATACGGACTATGAAGTTGAATTTAAAAAAATTCTAAACAGGATTCACGACGAAAAAAAGTATGAAACCATTTTTTTACTACGAAGACAATTCAACGATTGTGTAGTACAAAATATTGAAAAACAAATGAATGCTCCTGTCCTGAACTACAATTTAAATGAAATAATTAATCTCAGAGCTAATCGGAATAGTGCTATGTTGGTAGTAGCATGTATGAGAAGCACAAACGATGTGGAATTATTACATACTTTGGCTAATGATTTGCAGCAGATGAGAAAGACGCGCATACTTGTTCTTCTGAATGAAAACACAACTGCCGTAGACGATAAAAAACTGGAGCTTAATAAATTTTTTTGGATCTGCGAGGAAAATAAATTACTTAATATTATTGTTTTCGCAAGAGATTTTTACAAAATTCATCAATATTATAGTCACACACAGTTTCCCAAGCTGCGTATATATAAATTATCTCTTAAAAATGAATCCATACTTTATCCAAATCAGTTAAAAAATCTACAGGGAACGGAAATACTAACATTGCCCGATCAAATAATACCTCGTACCATGCTCTACACTGATTCAAAAGGTGTGCGTAGCATGAAAGGATATGTGGGCAATCTCATGCACACTTTTGCAGATTACTACAACTGCAGTCTAAAATTTCCTTATAATATATCAAACGATTTTGTTGTGCACAGCTTTGAGATCCGCGAAGCTGTGGCAAATGGTACAATTGAGATTGGTGCTAGCATATCTGGACCTTTATCGAAACAATTACGTGGCAATAATATATCCTTTACATACCCTATAGAAATATCCAAATGGCATATAATGATACCGAATGAACCTTATGTTCCCATAAAAAAGTTGTTTTTAAGAGTTTTCTCTCTGAAAATTGTTTTCATTATTTTTTGCAGTATTTTTCTACTGTCTATATTGCTTACATTGGAAGAGTTAAAAATCGGTGTTGTGAAGTCCCACATTTTCATATTTAACTTCTTTTTTCATGATAGCGTTATACGTGGGGAATTGGCACAAAGTTTTAAAATGCATAAAAACGACAGTAAATTTATGAAATTCATATATATCCTTATTATATGCGCAGGATTGTTTTTCAGCACTGCATATCAAGCAAATTTTGTACGCTTACTAACTACACCACCCACTTCAGCACCAATAAGAAGTTTTGACGATGCTGTGGTACACGGCTTAAAGATACAAGTCGCTAATACTGAACTGCCATTAATTAGAAAAAATAAAAATTTTGAATTTTGGCACAAATTCGAAAAACTTTTTTATGTTATTGAGAGTTTTGCACAATTTCAAAATAATCGTCGTAGCTTAAATACTCAGTATGGATACACGGTTACTACAACAACATGGCGTATAGTGGAAGAACAGCAAAAGTACTTCGCTAGAAAACTATTTCGGAAGTCAGAGGAAATGCACCTTTCTAGATTTGTCATATTTTCCATTCCGACAGCAGAAAATTCTTATTACACGGATCTTCTAGATAATTTAATTTTCCGATTGCACGAAACTGGTTTATTTTTTTACTGGAATGGTATGGTATTCTACGATCTTGTAGCAATGGGACACATTTCTATCGAAGACTTAAGCGAATCATACAAGCAACGGCATTTAGTTTTAAGCGATTTTTATTATATTTGGATAGTTTATGATGTAGCTATGTTCATATGTATAATAGTGTTTTTATTGGAAATTTTTTTCTGCAAATTAAATAATAAATAATTATTAAAAATTAATAATTGTTTCTATATTTCTTAATTAAAAAATGTAACAACTAATGTGTATTTATTTTATACAACATATTAACGACGTATTTTTGTATTTTGCTCCATTTAATAGATGTTTTTTTTATATGTATTCTGTCACATAACATGGTGACATTTTACAATTTTTTAATAAAGACTAAGTCATGATCATTTACAATTAAGATAGTTCTCCCTGTAGAGAGCTACTCTTTTCTTTTTAAATTAAGAATTTTATTATAATATCTGAAGCGGCGTTTTCCTTTTCAGTCTCGTAAAAATTGTTGACGGGGGATATTAAATTCGAAGCAAAGATGTTGGGATGAATTTGTATTTGTTCATTTTCTAGCTACCTTTTTTACTTCGTCTCTTACAGGGATTATCCTAAGGTCCCGATGAATTTGAATGTTAGTTACATACCATAGAGTATTTACCATTTCTCGTAAAGTTTTAGGCTAAAATCTTTGAAAAATGTCTATGTTGGATGTTGAGACTGTTCCCCATAGTTGAATGCCATAGGTCCATACTAATTTTAGCACACTTTTATATAAAATCTGTTTATTTTTTAGAGCTACTAAAGATTTTTTATTCAGTAGCCAAAACATTTTTCTGTATTGAATCCCAAGGGATTTTCTTTTGTTAAATTTGTGTGTTTTCTATGTCAGACGTCTATCTAAGTGCATCCACAGTTTGATTGCGGAATTATTATTATTATTAAGTTTAATTTCTGAGCAGGCATCTTTCCTCATTGTGAATGTAACATGAGTAGATTTTGTTTCATTTGTTTTCATGCGCCAATGTTGCAACTATTTTGATATACGATCAAGACCAGCTTGTAATTTGAAAGAAGCTACAGAGGGATCGTTTGCACTCGCCAGGATAAATGTGTTATCTGCAAATGTACTGGTTACAATTCATACCGTCTTCAGTAAATCGTATGTGAAAAGCAGATAAAGGGTT